CCGAAAAAAAATCAAAAATATTTTTAATCAGATCGGAAGATTCAGTCATTGTATGTAGAGTTATATGCAAGAGATGCAGAAAAAATGTCATAGTAATCAGATTATTTGTCTACGAGTTATCACTGCAGTAGTTTCGAAAATTGTTGTTTGGAGAAAAATGCTTTGAAAAATAAACCGATGGATCGGTATGAATTGATTGGTACACTTCAAAAGACTGTAACTCAAAAATATTTGAGCTATCGATTTTAGTGTTATTTTTAAAAGTATAAACTTACGAAATATGAAAATAAAATAAAAAATTTTACACTAGGTGTGCCCCTTAAAGCTTTTTCTAAGAACCAGTTCTCGTAATTCCCAAGAGAAATGATTCAGGGTTTGTTTTGAGAAAATAGACCTATCACAACACTTGCTAACATTCCGCAAATTCCCAAACAAATAACCTTTGCTTTTTACAAAATATGGTGTTCTTAGAATTTTAGCAGTAAATACCAATTTTAGTGGTCAAACGTAGCAAAAAGTGAGGTGAAGTTGCGCATTTCACTCAATTTGCCAGACACATGTATGTATATTGTTTTTTTTTTTTTGTGGAATAGTTTAATATGGTAGTCGAAAAAGTCTTTTCGTATTTCTAATCAAACTTATTTTTGAACAGCTGTAACCTTTTTCCCCCTTTTTTTGTTTGGTTAAATGAAGCTTAAAATCGCACGTTTCCAACACTATATGGTATGTCACAATGGGATTGGTGGACTGCAWCGACATCTAATGACAAAGTACGAAAAGACTTTTTCGACCACCATAATTTATAAATGAGAATATAATACATATGTCGCATTTTCCAAAACTTTCATGCAGCAATCTAATTCTGAGAAGCTTTCATGACAGCACCAGAGCGCCAATTAAAGCGCTTGCAACGCCTACAGTCTACGCCACTGCAACAGACCTACATACATACAAACAAATGTCTACTCCTTTCTCAATTATGTATAGTATATGTATCTTAAAAGCTTATKCATATTAGAATTCATACAAATTTAATGTTGTGCAATAGCAATAACAACAAAAACAGTTAAAAACAACAGCGCTCAAGCGACATATGAGCAAATGCGTGCGTGTGTGTATATGGCCTATGGTGCAGATATGAATATCTTTTTGTAAGTGCACGCACATCCATACAAATATGTATTTGTATATTTACATACTTATGTATATATGTTTGTATATAAAGTGTCTGTATTTTATATGCAGCGTCATGTAATTGTCTGCATAGCATAAGCTTACATGTGTATGTATGTATTGGTAAGATTGCACAAACCTTTATCTATATGTGCATGTATGTATGTATATATGTATGAGTGTGGTTAATTTGAAAATGCCGTTGTGTGCATGGAGTATTTCAACTAAACCAAAACTTGCTGAAAAAGTCTTAAGCTCACAGCAACGACTCAACAAGCCGAACTTACACTTTGCACACGGTTTTTAACGCTTTTTGGAACATCAAAAGTTTTTCTAGCGAATGCACGGCCGCCGACTGTGTTATGTGTGAAGTAAAAGATTCGGATAGTTAAGTCAGCCAACGCGCATTTTTTTTTCGTATTTAACCAGTCCATGAACATTTGTATGCAAGCATGTGAGCTTGCGCGAGCGCTGGTGTGAGTGCGCATGTCTGTACGTGTGTCTGGCTGTATGGTTGTATAAAAGTATGCACGAGTAAGTCTGAAATTTCCAAATTATATAAAACTTTCATGCTGCATTGTTCAATAATTTCGTATGTATGTATGTTTCTACTGCTTGTATATACGCGTTTATGTGTGTACGAGCTTATAAAACGCTTATATATAACAGTGAATTCGAAAATATACATATCCACATGCATACAAACATAAATATACTTTCATATATGTATATACTATATACAAAGTGTGTCTGTCTGTTTGTATACCATATATTGTATAAAGTTAAAAAGCCTTCACTACTTTAACCACAACAATAGCAACAACACAGCAACAACAAAGTAATAGCGCAACTTTTTACGTAGCATGTTTGTATGTCTGTCATCTATCTGTCGGTCTGTATGGCCGCCGTTCTCCACACATAGCTTGTGATCGTGGAACCTCGATCGTCGTGCGCCGTCGCGTACTGTTGCTGAACCAGTCAACCAGCCATCCACGGCAGCAATAGCAACAGCAACAGCAAGTCAGTCAGTCAGTAAAGCCAATACATATTACCTACTAGGTAGAAAGTATAACAGCCAATGGCAATTTGCCTTAGTTGGAAAGTGCCATAAACGACGTTGGAAAAAAATCACACTTCATTAATGTAGAATGTTGGTGTGTTCAAGGTCGCAAATGTTGGATCACTTCTTTTCATCAATGTTAATGATGATGATTGCTAAATCACGGAGAGAGCTACAACCGCGCAAGCACAAGCACATTCACAGACGATGACAGACTGGCAAACACATACAAATACATATACATACATTGTACATTCATACATCTGTATATATGTACGTATGTTGTGGCAATGAGAGAGTTGTATATGCAAGAAATTTCCATACATTCAGTTTTGAAATGTCAGTATCAAGTGAAGGGTTCAAGCAGTAGAGAGTTAAAAGTAGAAAGGCTAGGAAGTAAGAAAAAAGTGGAAAAATCTTAGTGAATGTACAAATACTGGTTTCTTATTGAGCAAATACTGTAAATAATAAATTAGTTTTAGTTAAGAAAAATTAAAAAAACGCGCTACATTTGCATATTCATAATACACTGTATGTATGTACATATGTATGTTCCTTTATGCGCTTGGTTACGAATGCGAATTGTTTCTGAATTGTGTGTAGTTTGCGCATGCGTGCGGTTTGGAAAAGCGGATGCTTAGTGTTATATTTYGGACTTTAAAAATTTGCAAAGCGGTTTTTTTTTTTGTATAGAAAGCTGTAAAAATTACTAAAATTAATTTCAGCAAATGTATGTATGTGTAATGTATTTGTACAAAATAAAATTATAAAATATATATATGTATGTATATAAATGCAAAATAGCGCTGCACATGGCAGAACATTGCTTATGCTAAAGAAAAATTAAAATTTTAAATTTGTACTTATTATTTTTATTTATTTTTTTCTGTTTGCTTTTAATTATTATCTTTTCTTGCTAAAAATATACATATCATATGTATATACAAATATATAAATCTAAAATTGTGCTGGACGTGGCAGCTATTTATTGCTAATTCTTACTACAAACAAAAAAAAA